CCCCATGCCCCTCCTATGAGACACTTATGGTGGGTAGAGTAAGTTTGAAAAATTTCTGTCTAAAATCTAATTTTCCTTACAAGGGAGAGTTCCTGCCACAGCACATTGACCCCTAACTTAACTTTGGGGTGAAACTGCAGTATTGACACAGAAACAGCATCTCCAGTAGACAGGTTTTACTTAGATATCCATTTTATTTTCCAACACTTAATGTATGAGAGATTGAATGACCAACTGAAGGAATATGGCAGCAGATTCTAACCTAGCTACTGCAGAAATTTGCAATTACAGTATATACTATAATAATAGTGTCTAACCTAACCATACAAAACCCCCCTTTAGTGTTGAAGACAAATCTTTGTACGTGAAAGACCTTCCCAAGCTAAGCACTGGTTGCAGGTATTAGACCTATAATATCTACTTGGCACCTGAGAAGGCATGGGTTTGAATATCTCCTCCCCCATACAACTACTGTATTGAAATAATTTGTTAACGAACAGTGCATTACTGTAGTTGAGGCCTTTTTGTATGAGTTGAGTCTCTAGTCTCACTAATAAAGAGCTTCCGTTCTGGTCCAAAATTGTTCATGCTCACATAGAATCATAGAAAATGAGGGTTGGAAGGGACCTCAGGAGGTCATCTAGTTCAAACCCCTGCTCAAAGCAGGACCAGCCTCAACTAGATCATCGCTTTGTCTATCTGGGTCTTAAAAACCTCCAAGGATGGAGTCCACAACCTCTCTGGGTAACCCATGCCAGTTTTTTACTACCCTCCTAGTGAGAAAATTCTGCCTAATATTTGGTTCCTTTGCCGCAACTTGAGACCTTTGCTCCTTGTTCTGTCATGCCACCACTGAGAACAGACTAGCTCCATCCTTTTTCAAACCCCTCCTTAAAGTAGTTGAAGGCTGCTATTAAATCCCCTCGGTCTTCTCTTCTCTAGACTAAGCCCAGTTCCCTCAGCCTCTCCTCATGAGTCATGTCCCACACCTCCTTTACCACTTTCATTGTCCTCTGCTGCACTCTCTCCAATTTGTCTACATCCTTTTTGTAGTGGGGGGCTCAAAACTGAACAGAGTACTCCAGGTGTGGCCTCACCAGTGCTGAAAAGAGGGGAATAATCACTTCCCTTGCCCTGCTGGCAGCACTCCTACCAATGCAGTAGAAGATGCCATTAGCCTTCTTGGTAACAAGGGCATACTGCTGGCTTATATTCAGTTTATTGTCCACTGTAACCCCCAGGTCCTTTTCTGCAGAGCTGTTGTCCAGCCAGTCAGCCCCCAGGCTGTACTGGTGCATGAGATTGTTCTGTCTTACATGTACGACTTTGCACTTGCCCTTGTTGAAACTTGTGAGATTTCTTTTGGTCCAATCCTCCAATTTGTCTGGGTTACTGTGAATCCTAGTCCTACCGTCCAGTGTATCTACCACTCCCCACAGCTAGGTGTCATCTGCAGACTTGCTGAGGGTGCACTCTACACCATCTTTCAGGTCACTGATGAAGATATTGAACAAAACCTGTGGGGTATTCCATTTGATAACAACTGCCAACTAGACATCAAGCCATTGATTACTACCCTCTGACCCTGATGATCCTGCCAGTTTTCTGTCCATTCATTACAGTCCATTCATGCAGTCTGGATTTCTTTAGCTTGCCTGTAAGAATGTTGTGGGAAACCATATCAGAAGTCTTGCTAAAATAAAGGTATACCACATCCAGTGGTCTCCCCAAGTCATCATGTTTATTGTCAGTGTGACGCTACCAATTTCTTGTATAGAATATTTCCCCACTTTATTATTTTACTTGAAATTAAAATGAATCTAAGTTGTTTTTCCTATAAATAGACTATCTGACATGGTAGTTTATCTGCATCAAGATTTTATGATAGCTCAATATATTTATTTTTCTCTCACATTAAGGGTTGACCTCAGTGAAATTCTGGTCCTATTAACATTGGTGGTAAAACTCCCATTAACTTCAATATAGAAACCATGTCACCCAATGATTATTGCTTATTTAGTTCTCCAGGAGTCCAATCTTGCAAACCCATTTATATACATACAGAGCAAGAAAAATGAAATATTTGCAAGATTAGGTTCTAATATAATGCAAGTAATAAATGGCATATTCCTCTGGTGGGAGAACAGAAAATTGCACATTAAAAGTCACTGCATCACATACCAACTCTTAAGTCAAAGACGTGGTCCCAGGACCTCAGCTAAAATACTTAATTGGAACCACTGTTGCATTTTTTGCCTCTTTTCAATCCAGTGTTTGCATATTATATTAAATGCTAGTGGTATTTTGGATGCATTTCTCTCAGATCCACTAATATAAAACACCCCAGGAATGACTATATTTAGTAGTAGATTAATCAAAATGGCCATGAGAAGTTTGTATTGCTGCTTCCTCTGCTCTATCTGTTCTGTGAAAAAGTATGACAGATTCTCAGGTGTATAATTGTGGCACCTTTTGTCAGTACTTGATTCAATATATACAACTGTCTAATCAAAATATATTCATTTTATTCTCCAGAAGCAAAGTATCCCAGCATATAAGCCACTTCAAAACAATTCAACCAAGATAAAGAAGGCATGTGCTAGAAATGGTATTTAACCAAATCAATGGGTACACAAATGTATCAACTAGAACTCTTAAAGGCCATTTCAATAATAAACCGCTTCAGTCCTTCATTAATAATTTTAACCGTTTTAGTCCTAAACACATTCCTCTCTTCGATGAATTTTTCAAAGAGATGGACCCCACCTCCAACCCCAAAATAATGTGCTTTGCTAGCCAGATACACACAGCCGTTTTTAGACAGTAGCTTAGAAAGGGTATCGTGCAAAGCACTATAGTAATCAGGGTTGTAAATAGTCTCTGATGTGAGAATGATATCATACTTTGAAATAAGTTTCCCGTCACTTGATAGGAGTCGAATGAACTCAGACCATTCCCCAGAAAAAAATTTGCATTTTGAGAGCAGACCAGGTGAACAATCTGCTTTCTTGAGCCTTTTTGAAGTAGGTTCACCAGCTTTTCTGTTATCATCATCACTGCCATCACCACCAGCACAGTTAGCCACGACATTAGGCAAGGTTATTTCATCAATTACAGTGCCATTGTAGTCCTGAAAATGGACTTTTTCTGCCTTTCCCTTTAAGGCCACTACTCCCAACAGTCCAGCCCCACAGCCAAGATCCAAAACTGTCTTGTTGACAAACTGTATCTCAGCTGTTGACAAGTAATCTATGAGGTCAAAAGTGCATTCCCAGATTTTCATTCCTCCCTCATAGACACCTGGGAGGAGATCAGAGTGAGAAGAAATACTTTTAGACACTACGTCTTCTCCATGGGAGCCATCTGAAAGACTAATTTCCACTACAGAAATGTTTACATGATATAGCCCCGATAAGGCTTCCACAACTTTATTTTCTAACACTTTGTCGACATCGTCAGGTATATTATGCTCCCTGGCAACTTTGCAGGACTCTTTCTTTGATAGTGTCTCATTCTGGTTTTCATCTTCAGCTGGCTCTGGGCAGCAGCTTGCTATAAGAGCTGCAGTTTCTGGTGCTACCTTATATGCATGTAGAGATTCCTGTACTGCGGCATGTTCTTCTGATGACACTTCCTTGCTTTCTGTAGATCCTTTTTGGTTTTTCAAAGCATCCTGTGCAGAGCCCAGGAGTAAGTCTGTATCACTAAGAGCCTCTAGTTTGTTTTCTACATTTTCCTTGATAGAAAAGTTAAACTGAAATGCCATTTTTATATAGTCCAAGGAAAATAAAAAGACCACCTAGAAGGTAGTTACAAAAGATAGATGTACTTGTCCAATGAAGATGTTGGTGTAAATGCAATGTTTCTTGTAATGTGTTGATAAAAACGTGTTCTAGGACTGTCCTAATGTGACTGAAGGCTACTGGCACTTAGTTATCACTAGGAGATCTTCTACATGCACAATCCCATTTGCACTGTAACTTCATCAGTTGAATTCTCTCTATACAAGAAGAGGATCTGTCAAAAATAGAATATCATGTTGTTAAACAACAAGATACTATGCCTGATCCAAGTCAGAGAGGCTGAGAAGCAGTCAAAGGATAACATAACTTGTAATCATCTCTTATCACCTTGTAACATCCCCTTCACCTAGATATTACCGCCTTTTTCAGAGGACAAAACTAGATAAGAATAAGGAATGTGTGAGAGACAAGAGCGCAAGTCTTTTAAATTGTTTAATCTTTAGCTTTAGTCACAGCTTTCCTTCCACAGATGTATGTAGACACATTTAAGTATAAATCACTTGTCTATGAAAAACTAAGGTCTCAGATTTGGCCGTCTGACAAGAAAATATCAGGTTTTTCACATTTCAAATCATCTATGTAGATTAAAATATTGTTTGTGCTGTTTGTCTGCAGCATTTCTTGGCATTTCATTTGCTCTGACTTGGACAACTACCATTTTAGGGTTTCTCATCTGTGTTTTCTTAGTGACTGTGACTCTCATTTGGAACCAGGAGGTTGATTGGTTGTGTCCTTGCCTTAATAACACCACCATCAGTCTGGCACGGAATCAAAAAACAAGAATTAAAATGAGAGTAAACATGTTAATTTCTAATACTGCTGAAGCCTAGATCCAACCAAACCAAACCAAACCAAACCAAACCAAACCAAATCTAGCTCATCACGGCTGCCGGCAGTTGAACTCATGCTGTAAATCCCTAGCTCCACACTTCATTTTACACTTGCTTACTCTCTCACAGGGTTCAAGCAGCCCTTTCTGTATCAGAAACACTACAACCCTGTGAGTGGCATTAAGCCCGATGCCACATCATTAAGCACATCACACAGCACGTGCATTTGCACTGAGCACATCACCACACGCGTACACATGCGGCCCCGCACACGATGTGCACGCACGCTCACGAAGCACATTAAGCACACATGTCCACGCACATTAAACCCAGCCTACTGTGCACACGCACGTTAATTAAACCCGGCCCACCACGGACATACATATTAAGTAAGCACGGCCCACGACGCCCATATGAATTGCTCGCATATTCAGCAGGGCCCGCGATGCACACGAACTGCCTGCACATTCATCAAGCGCAGAGCACGCGGACCGCCCGCCGAGCAAGGGCAGCCCACATGTGCGGGGCTGGGGCTAGTGCCTGCGGTCACAGGCCATGCAGCGTCCACGGCTCCTGCCACCCAACCCGGCGGCGGTCAAAGCAGGCCAGGCCCGACCCCTCCCTGCTCCCGCCCTCCAGCCCGCCCCGCCCCCTCCGCGCTGGCGCAGCCGCGGGGGCTGTCGGGATAGCGGCGGGAAGACCACGGCCATGTCGCAGGCGGAGCGCGAGCAGCTGCTGCGG